ATGGAAAGTTATTTTACTTAGCTGCATTTAAATCATGATAAAAACTTAATACTTATTGAAGAAAAAAAATGTAAGAATAAACATCTTTCCTATAGTAGCAAATATACTATAGGCTATAGCAATATAGCAAGCATCAAAAATAAGTATGAAAAAATAAATACATAATACTTCATCCCTTCATATTATATCTGCAATATTATTTGTATAATATAAACACAGAATAATTATTATTCTATAATATAACTATATTCTATTCCACAAGAGAATAATCACTTTTTGCGTCACAAATGGTTAGATTGGTGCGTCAAGAACCACGTGAACACGTTAACATCTGGGTAGTTGTTAGCTGACGAGAATCGGTCAGCGGACTGATTATTCTCTCGTAGAATAGACTATGGGTACAAAGAAACAAATATTAAGATAATTTAATTCATATTATTTACCTTTATAAACATTTCATAAACTTCAGTGAAAAAATTTTTTATACCCTCATCATTTTTAGAGTCATGTACAATAATAAATCTCATTCGACTGGCTGTAACAAAAGCTGACACCGTCCAATGATTGAAGCGATCTACAGTTTTCAAATACATAGATGTCGACTTCCACATTAATTCATCAACCAGATCTAAGGCAGCATGGGCTATAAATTGGTTTAAGTGGCTATGGTCTTCTTTCTATAACATATTAAAAATTACATAGCACAACTACACAAAATAAAAATTTGATTCAATTTAATTAATTATTTAAGATAATATTGAAAGTTTTATTACTAAGTAGGTAGTAACCAATTATTATTAAGAAAAACTTAAAAAAAATTGTTGATTTATTGTTATATAAATTAATAATATATGACCTACTAATTTAACAGCCGTAACAATACGTTACAGCAATATAATGAATTATAAAAATAGTTATGTACCTATAATTGTCAGAATAATTTATTATTGTTTGTCTGAAACGTAAATTAACATAATACCGAAGATTGGTAGATTTGTATCACTTTAAAATTGAATTATATTAGGTAATTCAATACAATTGATGTGCAAACTTCAGAGCTTGAATTGGATTTTAAATATTTGTTTAAAATCATATAAGAAATCAAATATATTTTTTGATGATATTCAAAATTTATATTGAAATTGAAAAAAATGTAAATCAATAATTTATACCAAAACAAAACCTAATTATTTTATAATTTTTATTTACATACTTATCATTTAAATCATTAAATCAAAAATTTTAAATTGAGCATAGTCGATAGACGATAGGTCTATAATGATGTTCATAATATGTAGTCATATAGATAATAGGTAATAAATAAATAATATTTTGTTTTATAAGGCTTGTTAAACAGCCACACAGATAATGACAGATTTCTCAAACTCTCAAAAATTTCAAATTTAAATCAGAAAAAAACAAATATCGATAAGTGAAATTTAAATGGCAATTTAGATTTCTAGCCCTGGCTAACTTATCAACTAATTAAAATAAAAACTTTGGCAATCACAAGTACACAGCTGTAAATATCACTAGTATTAATTGATATTATAACATACTTTTACTTCTTTGCTAGACATAAACTCCATTTCAAATATAGGATTGTCACCATGTCCGACGATTACAAAGTAATAAAAGCCCGTCATGTTAGTAAATACAAATAATTACAAACACATAAGAATAAATACACGGTTGCTTATATAAGTAATAAGGTATATATAACTATTATAATATTTAAGAACTAATAAAATAACTAATAACGTTTCTATTCTGTGGTTTTAACTTTTTAAGTTGAATTTCATTCAAAGTTGATAACAATTTATTATGTTATCATAGTGATAATATAATGTAAATAATCACAGTCCACGACCACGGACTATGTGGTAACTGGTAACCATTGATTATAAATGCGGGTTTCCACTATGCACGTTTGAGGGTACGTGCATACAAATACTTTGCTACAATTGGTTGGTTAGGTTAAGTTACCATACGATTAATCACGATACCGTGTTGTCGGGCATAGCTGAACATTATCCGCCTTAAATATTATATTAAATATAATCATGTGGCTCGGCGCGGAACAGTGGCTGAAAAATTATTAAATTTTCACGCATTTTTACCCAACAAATAACATTTTATTGACTATTATAGAAAAATAGAGCTAAAACATTGAAAACTGACAACGCCCGTAAACAGCTGAAAAAGAGCCAAAATATTTTCAAAATTTGATGGTGTATAGAAAATGAAATTATGAACATTCATGTATTATAAGGTTCATCATAATAAAATCAATACATTCATTACCCCGCTCAGAATGTAAATTAAATAAGTTAAAATGTTTTTTCATGGAAACCTGCATATTATATTTACACAGTGAAACAAAAATATATTTCAACTTAGCGTCTTATTATTTTGTCTATTGTAGTATTGTACCTATGTTATTGATTTATCCCATTTATGTGTATACGCTATAATATAATATACCTACCTATGTATAAGGTTGAAGTGGTAAACCTATTAATAATATAATATATCTTTTTTTTTTTTCATGTATAACCGCTACATGAGGGCCGTACTGTTTGCACATTGCTTGGCCCTCATGCAGCATCGTTTATTTAAGAAAATATTTACATCTTTGAGATTGGGCTCTCACGGGGATTGGTACACTTTCCTCAATGAGTGCTGGTGTGTATGTGTGTACCATTACCCCATGATGATTACCTCACAATGGTATATGTATACAGTGGCCAAGCCGCAACGGAGATAACCGGGACGGACCCCCCTTTATCCCCTCTCATGTCGATATTTAATTTTTAAATTTTTGCCTTGAGGTGTCTTCTCGGGCCGGCCTGAGTCCGTCGCCCTAGACATCTCGTGTGTGGTGCCTCTTTAGGACCGGCGACCAGCCGTCCTGGGATTCCCGTTATGAGCCTCCTCTTCTTGAGCCGGCGGGAGCCCGCCCTTCTTGAGTTCCCGTTCTGGGGTTCATCCGTCATTTGAGGCGTCAATATAATATTATAACACAACAATAGTTGATACAAACCAATCGTTCTATAATAATAATATGATATCGTACAGTTTATTGTTGTAGGTTGTAGGTAGGTACAATGTACATGTTTATTTTTTTTACTCTAGTGACTTAACATCAAACAAAGATCATTGCCTTATTTACGGCTTTGTAAAAAAATATAAATATACCTATACATATTATATATATTCATAGACTATAGTTATGGGTAGTGGGTACACGATTCAATGTAATTCTGTGCGTATCCCGGTGGAATATCCGTATAGCTATTACGTGTTTATAATACACACACACACATAATAAGTATGTGCTGTATGGGCGGAAAGCAAGTCCAAACGAACCATTTTGTTAAGGAACAATATTATTATTTTCATTCGTTCCAGAACAATTACTTTTATTCGTTCCGATTAGAATTTGTTCGCCCTTGGAAATGTATCGGCATTGCGTATCAAAAATATATAATATCGTTTATTAGTGTTGGTTATGTCATATTATTATTATTATTATTATTATTATTATTACTATACCTATTTGTACAATATCAATAGGTATAATAATTATAGATAATAGTATAATACAGGGTGTAACAAGAAGACCATGGCAGATCAAATAACTTTTATTCTAATCAATATTTTAAAATTGTTTTTTATATATAGTTTACAGTCACCTGCTCTAAAAGTATAATATAAAAAAATTATTTTTATTTTTTAAAAATAAAAATAAATAATTGAATTAAATTGTTTTGGATAAATTCAAAATAGCAATTTAAATCTATTGCAAATATCTATATTACAAATTTCTTGTAAAACAAGAAGTATCCATATTCCAAAAAAATCTAAAAACTACTGAACAAACTAATGGCATGAATTAATCGACTATGTAATCATTAAATTTAAAAACCAAGAAATTTCTAATTAATATAAAAAGTAAATTAATTAATAATTATTCATCTGTCTCATATTTCTTTTCTTTAAACAGGTATATTCACGGATTTAACCATTACCGTCGTAATATATACTATTTCTTCTAATTTTTATACCTATTAATATAATATGTAAACGAATTTGGCACCATTTAGATTGATATAAAAAAAATCATGTGTCACCTACCCTTAACCTATCTACAGACTACAGCTTATATATGAGTGGGAAAATCAAGTTGAATACGCCCTCCAATGTTCAAGTAATAATCTATTGGAATAACTTTTATTGACTTTTTTAAAACCTTCCGAATAAAATTGTACCTATGTATTTCTAATTATAATTAAATAAAAAATTTTATTTTTATAAAAAGTCTCGATTAACCGTGGTTTTCATTTATCCGTGTGACCCCCTCCCCTACATTACCCCGGATAATCGAGGTTCCACTGTATATACATATAAACCTTCCTCTTGAATTACTCTATTGATCAAAAAAACCACATCAAAATCTGTTGCTTAGTTTTTAAGATCTAATAGCATACAGAGTGAAAAAGGGACTTTGTTTATATATGTTAAGATTTATAGCCATGAGATAATTTCGATTTTTATTAATTTTTGTTTTTAATTATTTATAGCGGTGGTATGCGGTTGGATGAACATAAAACAGTGTCTTTGCTCAGAATCGCTTTTCGTATTCAATGTTTATCATTGAATTCAAATATAATACATCCATTACAATTACGTACTCGACAATTACTGAACTACTATACAGCAAAGTAGTACCCACTTGTCTAGTTGTCTACCTTTATTTTAAATTTTTTTTCTAAATTTCTTATTGGAGGAAAATGGTCAGTATTATATTGTTATATTATATGAGAGGACATAATATTATCCGATGAGTCGGATGAGTTGTTCTGGATCTTACTGTATGTTTACAATATTATTTATTTTATTTTATTTATTTTATAATACGGGACGAACCCTATAATACATGAAAATAGTAGTATAATAATAATAGAAATAATAGTTTGATTATGGAAACGAGGCTCAATTTAGAGTGAGAATGAAGGGTCAGTGTTGGCAATGCGCATAAGACGGATGATCGGTGAGTTAAGATAGTAGTTTGAGGAAGAGAAAGGAATATTAAATGGAACAGATGATCGTGTACGACGGGAGGGAACATTAAATGAGACACGGGATAGTGATTCAGGACTGTCTATTTTAGAGGAAAGAAGATTAGAAAGAAATGTTAAGTTGGCTGAATGGCGACGATCGGCGAGACTTTCTAAGGAAAAAATTCGTTGGATTGGCGTGTAATCGTGAGGTGGGCAGAATATGTTTAATTTGAAAGCAGCATGACGGAGGAATTTTCTTTGAACCCTTTCTATCATGCTACGTGCAGAAGCGGTGGATGGGTCCCAGAGGATGGTGCCATATTCAAGGATTATAATATAATACAATAATTTCATATGAAAACATATAACTTATTGAGAATACTTAGTGGAAAATTGAATTAAAAAAATGAATTTTGAAATTATTTAGAAAGATCAGATCTACAATTAATGCACTACATATCAAACATTTTTAAAATATAGTACCTACGAATATTAGTTATATATTTCAAAATATGTTCAAACGTTATTTTAGGAAGAAATTACTGAAAAGAGTTTTTGTATTGCCCACATGGTCTTACACTTAAAACTTAACTAAATTATATTAAACTTGTTCCGGTTAAAAGCTTAAAGCAATTATTTAAGTATGGTTGGTGTAATGGTGTAAGTAATTTAATTTTAAGGGACAATAATATAAATTAATATATACAATTTTTTCATTGGCTATTTTTCTTTTACTGTACCTAAATACCTACTATGAATTCATTAACTTGTTGTAATAAATTAAAACTACACTGTAATGTCTTGTGACATTTATATAGTATCTAGTATAATATTATAGTGCATATTATATAAACAGAGAATATACCTAACTGAAACATAATTTTTCTTTTATTATTATTGTTAATAAATCTTCATTGGATTGAATTAAATTTTAAATTGTTCTAAGTAAGTAGGTACACTTTAAATTTGAATTATTATATACCTACCTAATGTAAAAAGTAAAATTATAATGAGTAGCTACCTATAATAGCTAATGAATTAATGTTTATAATTTAAACAATTATCATTTACCTATCAGCAGACACTTATAATAATTATATGTTGTTGTACCTTATACCTATTATACATTTATATCTTATACATATCTATTACATTTTAAAAGAATCTTAAAAATTGTTATTCAAATCTGTTCATGAGAATTTATATTTGAATAACTAAAATAATATTGAATATCTACTATAATAATAGTAGGTAAATCTATTTCAACTTAAAATTGTCAATTTTCAATATAATGATATACCTAATTATAAATCATAATTAATGTTATTAAAATATTGATACTTAATTGCAAAGAAAGTTGCAAAACGGTTCAAGTGATATACCCTAATTTCTGTATCAACTGTTTATATATTATTTTGTAAATATTATTACATAAAAACTTTTTTTTATTATAGACGAAGAACCAAATTTTATAGATGTACCGTTTATACCAAACATGTAACTATAATAGTTGTAAAGAATTTAAGTTTATTAAGTATTAATCACAGAATTGTAAAATTAACTGTTACTAAATAAAACAAACAAAAGAAAAACAAAAAACAAAATATAAAATATTATCGTATCTAAATCTTTCAATATCATATAGCCATATAGGAATAAGAAACAGATGTGAAGATTTTTTTGATAATATTTTGTATGGATGCGTACATGTTTATTCTTTTTTAAGTATAATAATATACTCTTTTTTATGCTGAATAATGTAGGTATGCTGTAATGACAAAATATATTATACTTTGTGTATTTGCGGTTAAAATGCACAATTGCTTTGAACGGGTGCTGTATGGCAGCCAGGTGTTTGCCGGGTGATAAACATCGAGTGTTTGTATGCATATAATAAGTATATATAAATGTGTGTAAATGTGTGTGTGCATTTTCCACGGCACTCATCGATTGACGGCCTTATTGTGAACGGAGTTTTTCATTCGGCCAACGTTGGATTCATAAGTCACGCCGGGACTCGAAATCCATTGGAAAATTCGTTCCGCACCGAAATCCGATTTGGCTCGATCCGCGTGAGACACCATCTGCTTTTGGTGAAAACCATTGTCGAAAAATTGCCAACGCTATAATAATATGATACAAGCGAATGTCAGTAAATACCACTGAAATCGTGGTATGTAATGTCTGTGGCGACATGGCGAGCAACAATACTCGCTTTTGTTGGTGGCGACTGACGAGCAACAATACGCGCTTTTGTTTGACAAGCTCCCATCTGCCGCCGGAAAAGCTCGGAAAAACGCGGTGTCTGTGTTATAAGCCAGATGGCGAGACACATTATGACATTAAGTGTAACTTGTTAGTTGTTGGGTACCTATGCGCTATATACCTACTGATACTGTGTATAATACTATACCTACACGTTTTTACAGATACTCCATGTCCATATAATGTCAGAACGATATACAATTATATATCTATAGGTACCTACTATTTGGATTTTGTACGATAGTATTGATGACTTAAGTTGACATTTTAAATTTTAAAAATATTCCTAAATACAAATAAAATTTGTTATGTTTTATGTTTACCAGCTAGGGCGTGATACATTTGTTTTTCAAAAATGATTTACACATACTGTAATTATTCAGGTTTCCTTAAGGGTTTTTTTTTAAAACTATTTGTATCCTTCGTTAAAATTGTATTACCATTATTATTTATTGCTTACCTAGTTAACATTATTTGAAAAAATGTATATTTAGCATTTTAACGATACTTTACTATGCAGTCTGGTAGTTGTCTAATATTCAAATAAAGTTACTATTTTTAAAATTACTATTAGGCATTAGGTATTTCGTATGTATTATTCAATATACAATGATATCAACAATAGTTTATAATATTAATAAAACATCATCATTTTGAGCTAATAATATGATCAATGTGAGACTAGTACCTATTTAATATACCTACCTACTTTAAGTTGGTCAGTATTTTTATTACTTACTGACCTTATGACATTTTATTTAAAACTGAATTTTATGTTTGATCTATAAATATAATAGATTCAGCATTCAGACAGTCTTTATTACTGCCTAGCACATATTAAAAATAAATATTCTACTAAAGTAACATACAGAATTAATGTGTCCCTATAATCACGGGATTTAAAACTTACGTTTCACTTTAATACCAGCTTAGGTTCCATCCAGTTTTGTTTCCATTCAAGTTCGGTATTCAGATTATGATGGCCCCCGATGTAGCTATAGGGGCGATTTTGGTTAAAATAGCATTGAGGGTAGATGAGGGTATGCGTATAATGGATCCGACGGACACAAACTTGTCAATCATTCTAAAAGAAAATATTCCCCTCGCCATTGGCCACCATTCCCACGAAAGCTTAAAAACATTTTCTCTTTTATCAAAAACAACCATTAAAATGTCCGTTGTTGAATTTTGAAGCACCTATAGTCTATTGACTTCGATAGATTACATTTTTTAAATAAATCTCAATGAGTTAATGGTATTTTAATACTTGATTGATATTTATATGTATTTCTTAACAATAAACCAATCTACGTTGTGTAGGTGTTATAATTATATCGAAATTAGAATTGATAAATAATTCGTTTACGACAAAACATTTTTCAACTTTAACAATAACTACCTAATCATAATATATTATAATAATCAATATAAATATATAATATTGTCAGTTATTATGTTATTTATAGTAAAAATTAAAACGTGAAAATATGTATATTATATAGGTATAGCTGTTGTGTGTTAAAGATTTATTTATCCGTTAAAAACATTTATGATATGGATGTAATTATCTACTATTATTTATAGTAATACGACTGTTATTATATAAGTATACAAGTGGATACCACTCTGCTGCAGTATATTAGGTGACGTGTGGGTACTGTAATGGATGTGTTAAATTTATATTCAATGATATTATATTATTGTATACGAAAAACGATTCGGAGCGAAGATGGTCTGTTAGCCATTATTACTAAATATATACTATAATATATAGTACCTACATGATATATTAATATTGCTATTTAAGTCATTTATTTCACCATAGCAGTCCATTAGGATTTAGATTTTAGGTTGAATTAATGTTTACCTAAAACATTGCATTTGAAAATGTTGTTGTGTATCCATAAAATATAATAATATACTTCAAAAGGTTCAAGTACTCACGAATAATATTTTCAAATTACAACAAAATAATAAAATTGTTATTCTTCGTTTGATTATTAATTTTCGTCAAGATTTGAACTTAAAATATCAATAAAAAAAAAAAACCCGTGCTTATAATATATTTATTTAGATTTTCTGGTTATTATAATATCATGAACTACTTAAGAGAAACCTCGTTTTAATTTTTCAATATTTAGCTATAAAAATTGAACATTTTATACATTTTTACTTACAAATTAGGAGTGAAAACTTTTGAGATATTGTCATCTTGACGAGATTTAACGACGTTCTAGCTTTAAACTCTTATAAACATATATTGTGACAATGTATTTTCTATATTTTTTAATTGATAAATGAACAATTTATGAGAAACCTAGGATAAGTTATTCGAGTTTTTTTGACCCAGCAAAAGTTAAAAAAAAAAACTTAAAAAAAGAAAATTTGAAATTATAAATTTCTATCAATATATGTCTGGTGAACATTTTTAAAAATGTTATCATATTTTATAGAAAATTCTAATATAAAAATATTTGGTCAAAGCTATCAGTGCCATGAGTCAAATCCATTAGTTGGTTATGCAGCTGCTAACTATATACATTTATCTATAAAATATGCTGGGTTACAAAATTATTTGGTAAAATAAATAATAAATAAGTTTAAAAAAATATTTTAATAAAAGTGCCACTGCTCTAAAAGAACTTTATAATGAACAAGAAAAGTGTGGCAAAATAAACATAAACTAGGTATTGTTTAATCTATTAGTGTTTCTATAATTTGTATGCAATAATATTATTAATTATATAATATTTTGAAATAAACAAAGTAATTTCATAAAAATAATAACTGTAATAGTTTATAATAATTGTAATATAATATTTATTTAATATCTAAGTAAACGGTCACATTAAAATATTATATCTTGGCCACAAAATTTAAGCAAACATAATAAAACTGTTCTGGCCATAACACATATTTTTCATTGCAAATGTAAATATAAATAAATAAGAATACTGTATTTTTTGTCAGTAAGTTTTGTATTTAAAAAAGTGAAAAACGATGAAAAACAATGGATTAAGCACTGCTACACGGTGATACGCGGAAGGAAGAGATTGGCTGCGCACTACCTATTTGTTTTCTCGCTCTGG